GACTTTGAATAAACCTTTTTACCTCTTTTTTGTAGAACCCCATGCTGTAGTTTCTTGGTAATACCTCGACAGAGAGCTCATTCCATAACCTGATATGGTAATAATATATACTGTATTAGATACTGTATCTACTATATATTTCTATATATTACTCACTCGTACTCTATACCCTGTAATTTCACCCATACCCCTTCAACCCGAAACACATTTTGTATGGTTGTTGTAGAACATTAGACCTTAATTGTCCGCCCCCATATAATGGTATGAGCTACATGTTTTAATTCCAACAAGTACACGAAATAAAAATTAACGTACACGTTTCTAACCATGGACGTGTTGTTCTGTATAAATAGGGATGTTTATAGCATGATACCATTAAAAATACCGAAATTTTATTGCCATAAGGGTATTGTGTTATGAGGGCATAAGCTTTTTGTTCGCTACATTTTTTACGCGCGGATTTTAAAAGGAGGAAATCTAATGACATATACCGTTTATATTTGGCGTATCAAGATGGAGGAGTATTACACTAATTGTTTAATAAATTTCCAACTATATTTATTTATTTATTACATCCACCGGGTGAGCCTTACAGTCTTCCAATACGCTCACCCAGGAAAGCATGAGTACAATATCATATAAAAGGAATATAACACAAAAATACTAAATAAAAAATAATATAAAAAGATTTAACTGAAACAAAAAACGTCTGAACACAAATACTCTGTGGTCACTCGACGAAACTCCAGCAAGTTGGAGGCAAATACATCCAATTGCGGATACTGGCTCAAAATATCATTGAGTAGTTTCAATGCAAGAGATAGAGGAGCCTGCTTAGCGAACTCTGTTCTTCGTAATGGAACATAGAATAAGTACCGTCGACGTTATGTAATTATGTTCAAGTAAATGCTATGACAAGGATAAGCAAACTAAAATGGCAATGGGCTGGTCACATAGCTCGAAGAATATACAACCGATGGGGAAGAAAGGTTCTTGAGTGGCGACCGCGTATGGGTAAACGCAGTGTAGGATGACCCCCCCACTAGATGGAGTAACGACCTGAATTGCAGCAAGTTAGAGAATGCAGGTGGCTGAGGACCGTTCTTTATGGCAGTCTATGGGGGAGGCACCGTTTTACCGTTAACGCAGACGGGGTTACCGTTCCACTATCATCCATTAAAAAAACTTCATTTACCAGAGGGAGACTTTGTACAAAAGTCAATTGCTTGGGTGCCTCTGTCCCATTCGTGTTTCTACCGTGAAGCAGTTGTATTTGCATGGCTGTGTTTCGATTTGAAGGGTGGGATATGGCGTGAATTTACAGGGTATAGAGGAATAACATCTGAGTACTCAGGAATTGTAACGCATGAGGGGTTTCATGGGCAAAACAGTATACTCTGTTATGTCCATGGTACTGCTCGTGTCTATAGGCGACGGTTACCACTTTCCATCAGGTGGGCCGTCAGCTTGTTTGCCATTCTACGTTGTATAAAAAAAAAACGTTCATAAGCAGTTACAATTTGCCCAATATTAATAAATATTATTTTTACTTTTAACATACAATATTTTCTTATTTCTACTATAAAATATGGAATAAAACATAAAGCTACACTTAAATTGCTGCGGTATTTACCATAACTTGTGTAGTTAAAACATATTCCATATAACAGAACATTTGTATTTTTCCTTATCAGTTCTCATTTCTGCCTTCTTTTTTTGTATCCAATTTATTACTGTAGTATTAATGTAAAGATTTTGCGACAGACCAAGTAACAGTGAATGTTACTCATACCTATCATAATGATTTTCACAAAAAAAAAAATCGACTTCAATTAATAATAATAATAATAATAAATTCTGCCCGCATTTATCTCTCTTCGGGGGTTAGTTGCCATCTCCTCTCCTTAAGAGGGGAGATGAGAATTTTAGTGAAATTTAAAAAATAATAATAAAGTTTATTCTCTTCACAAGACCAGTTGTACATCTATTATATTCTAATACATTTATTTTTGGAGGTTACATAATTGTAGAAAAGCAAAATTTTTTAACCCATGTGTGGGTTGTAGTCACATATTTCTGTAAAATAAAATTTATTTATTTATTTATTCTTTATTGCACTATACAATTTTGTACAAATGGCGAGCTTAATGCCATATAGCATTCTCTACCAGCTAACCATTGGGTAAAAACAGAAAGCGTATGAAGGGCAAATGTGGTGAAAAATATGTGACAATTATAGTACACATTAAGGCAATACACAATATAAATATAATATACACATAAGAAATGCACATATAATACATAAACATTACTTTTAATATATATGGATAAACTAATACATATGAAATTTCTTTCTTACTTCCTTTAAAAACCAGTTACTTTGATTTAAAAAATAAACTTCTAAACCTATTTTGTTTAAATTTCTCTGGAACTAATCTGTAAGTATATCTTTTCATATAAAAAAGGAATTTTCCAAATCGGTTTACAAGTGACAGAATTATAAGGCAACAAACATAAAAAAATACAATTGAATTTAAAACTTCTTTTTTTTTTAAGTTGGTTGAAGACTTTGTAAAAAGTGGAAAATTTCGCTTATTGGTCATGTACTTAGACATGATAAATACCATCTTCTGCATGTGATTATGATGGGCAAATTTACTGGCAAGAGACGTGTTGGTTGTAAAAAAATAATTCTTGAATCCAGGTGTAGTCTGGCATTATCCTCAGACACGCTGTGCAGACCGTGCGAGGAGAAATCGGAATCCATGGAACACTTGATGTGCAACTGCGATTCGTTGGCAAGTATGGGTATGAGTCTACTGGGAACGGTTTATCCAGAACCAAGGGGTCTACATATATCTTAAACCGCGGGATGTCCTTAAGGTAACATGTAGGATTTATGAAATGATGGTATAAGGCAGGGGGAATCACAAAAGATCCCGATGGGTCGACGTGCATCGACTTAGCTGACCCCATATGCGAATATAAATCTGGCATTGCCAATGCAGTTAAATTATTCCACCTATTATACTTCCTCTCACGAACACTCAGGTTATGGAATTAACTCTCTCTGAGGTTTTTACAAAAGACTATAGCACGGAGTTCTAAAAAAAGGGATAAAGAGGTCTCTTTATGAACAGCAATGGAGCGTAATGCCCATGGTAAAGCAGGCATTCATAAGCTACGGTAACCGCTTACCATCAGTTGATCTATATGTTTATTTGTAACCTGTAGTATAAAAACAAAAGATACAAGGACCGATTTTATATGTCAAATATTTTTTCCCTAACATTCTAATAGTATTATTTGTGGCTGACATTTAAGCCTATAATTCATAAACATAATGCTCCCGGCCTTTGAATCTTCAAACGTTGTGAGTTTGAACAAATAACAAAGTAACACCATCATTTTCTTATGTTTATGTTAAAACTTCCACAGTATGTTACAGAGAAAATCTCCCGCTAACTCCAGCTTGTATAGCAAAATTACTTTATAATAAACCGTGGTACGTTGTACATAGTAAATCATAAAGGCTAAATTGAATAATGCCAAGGGGAAATTACAAGTTCTCGATTAAAGCATAAGAACTGGATGTGTGGATTTAATGAAATTCTCCTTCCGCCAAAGTTAAACTCGTTAATTAGAAATAATCAGGGAGATGAGAACGAAAATTGACAAGAATTCTTCAGTGTATGTCTAATGAAGTAATTATTTTTTTTATATTGTCTGAGAGCTTAGTTTTTAATAAATATAATAATAATATTTCCACCAGTTGCTTGGTTTTCAATATAGGATACAATAGAATAGGAACCACGCAAGCAGAATTTGGGAGCACATCCTAGAACATCCAGATCTGAGCTAATTCAGAAACGTTCGTTTCCTAAATTGGTCCAATGGGATATAATTGTAGATAGATATGTAGTAAATAAAGTAGATACTCTTTATTGTTTCCTCCAAAAGATTACAGTAGTAAATTTAGTGTAAATACAATCAATTATAAAAAATTAAGTAAGGAAACAATGAACAGTTTTATCGCTAAAAGCAATCTCTTCCAGGAAACTTTTGGGTGGAGAGGAGTAATTATAAACAGTTTGATCGGAGGCACGGGTTGTAATTACAGATATAACCCCGCATTATGCTGACTACCACCATGAAAGTGAATGTGTCTGCATAATTGAAACAGCACTGCAAAATATCGATTTGGATAATCACCCAGTAAAGCATCATTAGTCATTGAATAAAGCTGTTTTTCACTGCAATTAAGCTTTTGATCAGTAATTGTGCTGTTTTTTTTTTGTTGTGTGTTTCAATTTTTGAGGACTATGGTATCAGTTATAGGGTATTACGTCGTGTGGTCTCGGCATAGAATGGGCGATCCCTTCCTTTCTCATGGGTGTCGTAAGAGGCGACTAATGAAGGCCGAGGGATGGGCCGCAGCGTCCCTCTGAAAACATCTCCAAACCCTAACTGTGGTTGCCAAGCGTGGCAATTACTGGCAAAACCTCTCAATGTGGAGAGTTATGTTCAGCAGTGGACAGTTAAAAGCTAATATGATGATGATGATGATGTTAGATTCGAAACATTTGGATATAACATTTGTGGTCTAATTCTATTTTATTTATTTAAACTTCAATGCACAGTAAAATTCCACGTACATTTGGTGCACTTAATAGCGGATGGCATTTTCTAGCAGTCAAACTTTGAGCAAACTGAAAAATAAGCAGGAGATGCATCATTGAATTGGGGGGAAAAACTGAAAATAATATAAGTGAATATTTTTTCAATCTTTGTATAGTGATATAATGATTTATTTTTATGCAACTTAGAATGGCAAAAAACCTGACGGCCCATCTGTTTGAAAGTGTTAACCGTCGCCTATAGACATAGTAGAACTTTACGATATGAGAAATATTAATTAAGTTACTGATTTTGTAAATTTTATATCGACTACTTCTAAGAATTTAAAACTTGTTGGTGAAAAGACAATAAAACTACATGTATTACAGATTTTCATTTATTTCATTGATTACTGCATTACATAATTAATAATAACATACGATACCTTAACCTATTGATTCTAAAAAAATCATTTCCAATATCACCCTTACCTAGTTATTAAATTTTGGATTAATCCATTAAAAATGACAAGTTTATCCTTAGCTTAATATAAAACATAAAAGTTGAATGGGACACAGTGATTTTTAATCTAAACGCTAGATATTAATTACGTTAAAAACTATGTTTCATTCAACTTTTGTATCCACGAAATAAATTCTTTGCAGTTAGGACAATACTCGTATGACAAGGAAATCTTTGGTTCCATACAAATTAGCATAAAATTGGTATAAATTATTAAAAAAAAAAAGAATATAATGAAAAACTTAATAAATTAAAGGGTAACAAAGGAGTGCCTTGAAAATTGCCCGAAACTTAGATTAAAACTTTTCTGCTTAAGAGAAAAACTTCGCCATTCTAGAAACTCCCAAATGCGAGATCTTATATTATTTACTAAGTCATTTTAAATAAACCATTACCTTCCATTTTATATATATCTAAGGTTAATTCTCTGAATTGCAATTTTATCATATAGATTAACAATCAACTTTGATTCTTGTCTCTTATTAAATAATTCTACTAATTATTAACTATATTCTATTAATATAACTATTTACTTTCTAAAGAGGGTAGACGTAATGAAAAAATTAGAAGTGGAGGAAGATATGAGATAAACGATAATACTACAATAGATATAGATAGATGAGATGAAGTTTTCAATGTAGCTAAGGATGTAATATTATAAAAGTACGTATAATAAATTGACGAGAGTTCCTTTGTTTTCGAAAGGGTTTTGTGGTCTCCAAGAGCTGAGAATATGTTTGTTTTGATCCTGCGCGATAAAGAAGAAATTATTGTCGTGTTTAGCATTGGTTAATTATACGTAAGTGATGTTATATTACTTCCGACTAACGACAATGAGTGAAGCATCTAAATAAACTGGAAGTATTCACAGCCAGAATGATTTTCCATACTTCATGTCTAGATATGGTAAAGGGGAAGGTATATTTTTTTTTTTAAGATTTAGAAATTTTAAGTTTAAAGTTAGATTTTAATTTAATCTATAATTATCTACAGTGCATAAGTTTTAACATTTCTATTTTAATCGAAACAGGATTAAAGGCAATCCTTTTAAATGGAATGTTAGATTAATAGCTCTACTTGGTTGAGCATACAAAAATTTTCCCCGAGTACAATCATTTGATTGGAACATCGAACAATTTCTAAATGTGTTGGTTTCACTACGAGAAAAGTTTTTGTATTTCAAGCCTAGACATCTTAGATATAATTTAGAAGAAGTTTATTTGGAAACTACGATAGTTTGCGTTAATAAGTAAACTTTGAAAGTATTAGGTATTTTTTTTTCAATTTATTTTCGAATTATACTAAGCTAATCAAGTGCTAAATTTAAAGTCGTAGTTGATAGTAGTTTCTAATTATTATATTATGTATGTTTTATCCCAAGATTGTGAAAAAAAAAACAAGAGTACATTGCAAATGTGGAATGTGCTATTGGAAACAAATCTAGAAAGTATTCGGGTTACAGCGGATAGTGATAAAATTATGATTATTAGAAGGTAGAGAACGCTAAGAGTTATTTTATAGAAGCATTACTAGATAATGGCACTGCGGAATGTACCTGAGTTCATAAAAAAGTATCCTAATTCAGCTTAACAATTAAGTTTGTTTCGAACAAGATTATGTTGCATTTAATCTTTTATGTTACCTTACGTTTATACTTTTCTGTTACTATGTTTAACACCGTCCACTAATATTCCACATCTCAGTTCCCTTTATTGCCAAATTTATTCACAAACATTCAAATTCCATGATCCAGCAAATACATGTTAAGTTGTGATTAGCAATTTACCCTATAGTTTAAATTATCATTATTTAAATACGAACATTCTTGAGCTCAAAGAATCTTCACATTTAATATTAACGTTACCATTTTATCGTCTAGACTAGGTTTCGACAGCGAAGTTCATCTCTTGCAAACATTTTATATGTAAAATAAAAACTAATTAATACTGCCTAAAATTTCACATCAAACCAACCAACTTGGCTTTATTTGATTCAGCATAAGTCGATTGGTTCAGCCAAGAATCCACTTCAACTCCATACAAAAAGATGGAAGAGGAAGTTGCTTTACTTTGTATGGAATTGTATGGGTTCTTCCTCGCACAAAGTATACTTAGATCTTAAATTTTATACGGTAATTTTCAAGGCATCACTTTCAACGTGCAAAATATATTATCATATCTCTTAAGCAAAATAACTCATACAGGTTGTTAACATACGTTGTTGCAATTAGATTAATTTACACTGTTTTATTACATTTTTATCGCGTTCGCTAATTACTTTCCCAGTTACTTCTACCGATAGATTCATGACCGAACGTTTCTATTACTAGAAATACAAAATTTAACGTATTTACAACCATTTTTAACCTTTTTTAACAAAACATTCATAAGTACATCCTTGCGTCGCGCACAGTCAAAATGTACATCTCTTTACATTGTTATAGAATTATAAGGACTAGATTTATTTGTTTGGAAACAAATACTACGTAACAAAATTAAAACCAAACATTTAAGAACATAAGTTTGGCATTGCTACAGGTTTGTCTTCTTGATGGAGTAATAGTTTGTTGTTTATATTGTCTGGCAGTATCATATCATTAAATAATTTGTCCAAATCATGGATCCTCTATGCACTCATTATCGATATATCTTGAGCATTACGAATTTTTACTCTTTGAATATAATCAACCAGACTTTCACCCATCCCTTTAATGGAATCATGTATTTTAGAATTTGGTGATATTTTAAGTTTACTTATTTTTTTTTTTTTTATGATTACATGATGATGCATTTTCCTTTTTCAGCCCAAGGATTATTTTTCTTGTCTGGAGCATGTATGAGTGGATCATTTTTCTCATTTTCCTCTACATACTCCCGCATCCTGAAACAATAAAGTTCATTTATTATTAAAGAAAAAACAGCTCGAGGCACATTGTTTCCATGATGTCGTTCTAAGATTTTTATATAGGTTCATATTTTTTATTGTTCAATGAACCATTGGTAAGTAATAACGGTTGGATAACAGTTGGTGCTTTTTCACGCGTTGAGAATAAAATGTTTCTAAATTACATGAAGTATTGTATAGATCTGTTCAAGAGTATACAGTGATACAAGATAAACAAGTCAGTAAAAGACGTTTAAAAGACATCAGTATTTAATGTTTCAAGGACATTATAATTTTTATCGTGGACGTGCATAATAATATTGTTAATGTTAATGGAAATTTAAAAGTTTCAATATACAAATGTATATATTTTGTTCTCCTATTATAATCGATTTCAATAGAATTTAATGGAAATATAATCAAACGAATAATTGACCAGACCACAAGACATTCTACTCATGTCAAATGGTAGTACAAATAAAAAAATCCGTCAATTAATTTATTGTTTAGATTTGTTATGAATTTAATTAAAAGAGTGTTTCTATGATCATTTCTAAAAAAATTCGTTTTGTTTTTTAACTCTATTGATACATATAGGATTATATCGTGGCGATAAAATCATACGATATCATATCGTACTTAATGATAAGTCATTGGATATATTACTATCGTAATATAAATTATAAAAGTATCCATATCTTTATATAAATTCTTATATTGTTATTATATTGTTAGAAATTTGCACGCCAACATAGAAGCAGAATGTATACGGGAAATTAAAAACATCTATCATCTAAAATTACCTGCATTCTAGTAAAATAAATTCATTTCATTACATTTCATAAAACCTTGAAACTCTCATTTTTCCAATTTGAGAAAATTATTCAAAAGTGTAACAAAAAGCATTAAAGCAAAGTTAATCCGAGTGGAATATGAAAAGAAAATCCAAACAATAAAACTGAGTAACTTCTGAATCGAATCAATTAAAACGTAAAGTTGTTTAAAATTATTAGTCACGCTTGAAAAGTTCCAATGGCCACCTGGTAATATATCGCTCTCGCGATATTGGAACTTCGCCTTTTGGTATAAATTACATTTTATATGAGTTCTTGCTCTATAAATTTGGTATATTACCGTAGGGTTGCCATCCCCAAATTACAAAAGGAGGAAGACTTTATGCAAAGTCGTTTATATACGTACCTCTGCCTCGCATGTGTTTCTGCCACGCTTAAAATCTATATTTCAGTTTTAAGAAAGGATAGGACAATAGGAATTATTTAGTACAATGTATAATATATTGGTTATCACAGTTGAAGTACAAACAGATAGTGGAGCTGATTTTTAAGTAGTATTCCCCTAAACTTGTATCTAAAATTTAACAAATATTTTTTTCTTTATATTACAGCAAAACATTTGTATTCTAAAGGCCAACAGAAATTATATTTCTAATAGAGTTAAGTCAAAATTATTATAAGTACGTGTAAAGTTTAAGAAGGCTCATAAAATAATAATTTATTGAAATTATCAAATTAAAAAATAAATTAAACCTATTTGGTTTAGAGAAACCGCGTTTAAGAGTCGATCCTAATAATTCATGTGAGGGTCATCAAGAATCATATGAAATAAAGGTTACAATGAGCATCATCATAATGTGAATAATGGAAATCAGTCATTACATGATGATTTGTTTATATATTATGTAAGAAATAAAGTTATTCAGGACCTAGGTTGACAACCCTATATTTCCTTTCAGTTACTTGGGATAAACGTTAGAGTTGATGTACGAGCTATTAAAGAAATTCGTTCAAATCGATTCCGTGTTAACTTCATTTTGGATAACAAATGTTTAAATTCTCACAATATCTCTACGAGATGGCAAATGTAGAAATGAATTAAAATCAAACAGCAAAGAATAAAACAGAACAAGTGCTTAGATTCGTCTGCTTTGAAAAAGAACAACGTAGAAAATTGTTCACGAAGAAAGTTTAGCAACTATTTCAGCTTCAGTAGACGGAGAAATAACAAAGGGATCTTTTAGGTATTTCGTTTGTACCGTTTGCGATATCTACTGAATCTGAACGCAGTAAATGTAGTACTAAACTAAATATTTTAATGTGGACACTAGATTACTGATATTTTTTTTTATTTATGATTTTCCTCTTGTTTGTGTATTCATCTCTAACCTCAAACCATCATATACGACATGATACTCAGCTTTTTGTTTGTTTTGTTCCATATAGTTATTGCTTGGTCTTCACCTTCTATTTTACCTTCTATCTTTCCTTCTAAAATAGTCTTTATGAAGTCGCCACGCAAGTATAACGTGGCTTAACATTTTGCTTCTTAAATTTTCTGATAAACAAAAATCTTTTTTTTTTTTAACACAAGTAAATGTATTGTGCGATGATTAAACCTGCAATCATTAGATGATGAATCAGAGTATTAACTGCTTTGATTTATTTAAACATACTGTACAGTGTGTTATTGTATAGCCGTCAGCATTTTTACCTTACGTTATTAGCACTGCATTATATCACTTGCCTCAGTTCGCATAATACCTTCAGACTAAACAAACTCATAAAAAAAATAAAGACAATATTATTATTGTCTTTATTTTGTTTTAATTTTTTATACAATTGGTTGTAAATAAAGCTTTTTCTTTCTTACTTATCTATTATTATACATAATTATATTATCAATAAACGTAATTCAGTGTATCCTTGGAGTATGATTTCTCATACTGCATCATCATCAGGGTGCAAGTGTTATAGCAGGTCATTATTATTATTATTATTGACAGATAGACTTTTTAAGGCAGCAAAACCTGTAACACTGCGATCTCTGTCATTAATTGTGCTCGCCTTTTTTTAAAGTTTTCTGCTATTCATATATTCATTTCAGAGATATGAATTTTAAGATGGTCTTTGCAGCGATGTTTTTTCATTTCCTCAGGATATAAAGTGTATTTTCCAAAATAGATATATTGTTTGTGTATAAATGGACTGCAGCCACAAATTATGTACCTACTGCGACGTTGTCATGGCAAAATTTGCAAATTATTTTTGGGCATAAACCCAGTTGGGACCACGTGCTTATTTAGTTCACAGTATCCTGTGAGAGTTCTTGTTAATATACAAATATTATTTTTTATTCAAGAGTGTCTTTGAGTATTTTTCTGAAAATTCCTTAATTCAGGATTTTCAAGTGTTTTAATCCTGGCAATAAAAGCCAGCTATTATACATAACAGACCATACACATATATAGCTAGGCGATTAAGGTAGAACGAGGGATGGGCAGCAAGATTCCTCTTAAAACATCTCCAAAGTCTAACTGCGGTTGCTGATCCGCTTGCCAAGCGTGGTAACTTCTGGCAAAACTTCCCCTAGGGCTTATGTTCAGCAGTGGACAGTTAAAAGCTGATATGATGACGATGACTTATATACAGAGTAAAATTGGGAATAATTAATTATAATCCCCTAATAATATGAAAGGAGTGGAAAATAAAAACATTTTGTCATTTAATTAAGCATATCTCTTTGGGACAAATGTTCAACGAATTAAATTTTAACCTATACGAGTACAACGTATGATTGAATAAATCCAATAAAAATCCATTTGCAATCGCATTGATGGATTAATTGTCGCTTCATCGGATATATTGATGCTTTCTATGAAATAAATGTCCCGGCAATCGCCCGGTGGATCGGAATTGATACGTGAAAAAATTATGCGCGCTTTATTCGTTCCACTGTACCTTTTTGCATGTTGAAGGATGCTTGGGGATGTCACGATGAGGTATCATAAAAAGTAAATAGCGTTTATATGTGCTTGTGCATGGAGAGATGTTGTTTCTGTCTGTTTTAGATGTTTTTTACCAATTCCTGAGTGTATTGTTACTATTTTATATTTTACTAACATTTTCGCCTGGTTCTTTGTACGCGTGGATTTTGATATTGGGGCAGTGAATGAAATAGATTGCTTCTAGTTAAGGTATCAAGATAAAATATGAAACATTTTAAGTAAGACCTACAGGAACAGCTGTGAAAACTGCATCCAATTTGGTGTAGTAATTTTTGCGTGATATTAGAACAAATATAGAGATGAACAGATAGTTTTAAGTCCACGTGCGTATTACCTATTTATTGTTAAACAAAATGTAGCAAAAAAATTTCTATATTCAAAGCGATTTACAAATCGTAGAGTTTCTATATTTTATTACACATTATTTTAATAACATTTGAATGTACCGAGGGAGACTTTGTAGAAAAGTCGATTGCTTGGGTACCTCTGTCCCATTCGTGTTTCAACCGTGAAGTAGTCATGTTTTCATGGCTGTGTTTCAGTTTGAAGGGTGGGATATGGCGTGAATTTACTGGGTACAGAGGAATAATATCTGAGTCCTCAGGAATGGCAACGCATGGGGGGTATCATGGGCGAAACAGTATACTCTGTTATGTCCATGGTACTGCTCATGTCTATAGGTGACGGTTACCACTTTCCATCAGGTGGGCCGTCAGCTTGTGTGTCATTCTAAATTGTATAAAAAAAATAGATCTTGTTTTGTGTTTCGTAAAGAAAAAAGTAGCTTCAATTATCACAAAAGTTGAAAAATATTTACAAAAAATATCATACAATTTAGAACTGATAATGCAATCGCGTAGCATAGCCTTGAAAATATAAATGAAAGAAATAGGATTTATTAAATGTATATTATTTAAATAATTTGTTTTTAGATAGATAGATAGATACTCTTTATTGTTTCCTCCAAAAGATTACAATAGTAAACTTATTATAAATATAAATAATTACAAGAAATAATCACAACGAGAAAACAATGGGCGACCTTATCGCTGCAAGCGATCTCTTCCAGGCAACCTTTGGATGGAGAGGAGTAATTATAAACAATTTGCAGGCACGATGAAAAATTTTATTAGTTTTAAATATGGGATGATATTAAATGACACGTTAAATAATTAAACGTAATGTCTCACAAAAA